GCACTGGGAAGGGGGAGCTTGGGAGCGGCCTGGGTGGGGGGAGCAGCGGAGCACCCCTCCCCCGGCTCAGCATGGGGAGCTTGGGAACGCGCAGGGGGGAGCGGGCCGAGGTCACTGGGAGCCCTGGGAATGTCGGCAGCCAGGGCTGGGCCAATTCAAGAAGCGTTCAACCAGAAACATCAAGTTAACACATTTTTCCAGCATGACCAGAGGAGGCTGCAGACAAGCAGCCAAACCCCGCTCGCAAGGGGAACTCCAGGACAGAGCAGCATCCACGCTGGACAACTGCCCGGTCTGCCTCCCGCGGCTTGCCTGGCCTCGGGTTTCCGCTCCAGACACCGGTGCGGGCAGAGGGATCGGTCCCTGACCTGAGCTGGGCTACCTGGACTGTGGCACGTTCCTCTCTCTGGGCCCCTGGGAGCTCCGCTCCGCTGCCGGGGCCAGTGGCAGAGGAGCGGACAAGGTCACCCAGGAGCCCATTGCCACCCTGCTAGCGGAGAGCCCGGGACTGGGCATGCACTCCCAGCAAAGCAGAGCGACGCTCCCAGACTAAGGAGGTGCAGGAGGGCTTTGCTGGCTGCCAGGACCCGTCTCTGCCCCATCTAGGATAACCCTGATCTCAGCTCATAGTCCAAAGCGGGAATCTCCCTGCCCAGCCATTGCGGTCTCATGGGACCTCCAGGAGACAGACACGATTCTCCATCTCCATCCTCATCTCCATCATCTTCCCCAAACCCCACGTGGGGATCACAGCTGGGGAAGAGGCCACAAGGCCCTGTCCACAGCCAGTCCTGCCCTCCGACAGACCCACAGCCCGGCTCCATCCCTCCTTCAGGCCCCACAGCTCGGGGAGACTCCCAGGGTCACGGTGGGGCAGGAGCACATCTGCCCGGTCCCCCCGCCCCCAGCACTCACCCAGGGGGAAGGTGATCTGGTCACACATGCCCAGCAGCTGCCCGAAGTACACCTTCTTCTCTGAGGGATGGATCCCCAGCTCCATCATCCTGCAAGCCAAGCCTCATCATTAGGGAAAAGCAGAGGCAGCGGAGCGCGCAGGGGCAGTGCGTCCCACCAGAGGAGCGGGGATCATCTCCAGGTACAAGTGCGCAGCACCGGCCCCATCCCAGGTGGATGCTGGGATGCAAGGGCTTGAGGGATTTGGTTTTAAAAACAGCCCCTGGGCTGGGCCGTGGGGCCAGCTCTGCAGCCACGGTGGACTACCATGCTCCAAGCCCCAAGTGAAGCCCTGAGCACCAGAAGGGAGCTGGGATCCCACCGGGGGAGCGCAGGAGAGCTGACAAGCCCCAGCACATCGCACTGCAGCTCTGCTGGGCCCCACTCCCTGCCATGCCATGCTGCCTCCCCAGCACTCACCTGCGCAGGGTGAACTTCACCGTGTCCTCATTGTGCGATGCCACCATCACATTGGCTTTCCAGCTGTGCTTGATCTCCTCCAGGATATAGTTCAGGCACCTGTAGGACAGCACGGGGCTGCATGGCAAGGCCGCCCCAGCTGGTGCCCAGTGGGGTGGGAGGGAGGAGCAGGGCTGGGGCTGTACCCTACCTGTGGTACATCTCGTTGGTCTTCTCGTACGTGGGGTTGATGGGATCCTCATAGCCAATCTGGGCTGCCCTCTCCCGCTCCTGCTCCATGTAAGCGCCACGGACCAGCTTGGCGCCAAAGTGCCAGCCCTCCCGGCGTGACAGCTCCACATCCACCGTCACATTGTCGTAAGCCTCCTGGGGCCAGATGGAAGCAATGGCATGGGGTCATCCCATGGGTGCCACCTCCACCCCACACCTCCAGCCAGCCAGCTCTAGAGTCGTGCCATCGCATTGCCACAGCTTGGGGAGCCGAGCTCCCGCAGGTCCTTCCTGCCTGGCCTCCTGCTGGACCTCACCTTCAGGTAGCACTGGTAGGTGTTGAAGATGATGGCCCGGTCCCTGTTGAAGCGGCGCTGCATCTCCAGGGTGAGGCGGCTGATCGCTGGCTGGAAGTAGCTCTGCTCCGCATCCACCATCAGCCTTACACCCTTCTCTGTGGCTCTCTGCAGGGGGTGCTTCTCTGTGGCTGTCTGCAGGGGGGGCGTGACGGGGGGGTTGGGCTGACGGGGTGCCCTGCCATGCCTGCAACCCAGCACCCCCAGCCCTGGCACCCCCAGACCTTGGCAAGGACGTCCATCCGCTGCAGCATCCGCTTCATCTGCAGGTCCTCCTCCTCGGTGAAGCGCGAGAGCAGAGGCTCCAGCTGCCCAGTCTGAAAGGAGAACAGTCTGTGGCACCCTGCCTGCTGGTGGCCAGCCCTGCCCGCAGGAGAAACCCGCACCAGGGAGGCACGTGTTGGTGGCCAAAGGTGGGGAGGAGGTAAACGACGCAGAGGGATGAGTCCTAACCTGGGAGCAGCAGCAGGGGATGAGAACAGGGGATGGGGCCACTCCAGGGGTGGCAGAGATGGGTACCCACCTGCATGTTGGGGACAAGCAGCAGCTTGGAGAGCTTGGTGCGGCTGTCAATCAGGCTGTTCCAGTCCAGCAGGTCCACGGTGCTGGGAGCAGAGAGCCAAGTCTGTACTGGTGTCTTGCAGGGGCAGGGGGGGTTCTACCAGCTCCTGACCCCCACCAGCAAGCCAGTGCACAGCACGTGCCACCCTGACCCATCTCGTCCCTTCCACCCAAACCTCCTCTCTGCTTGGTCACTGTGTGGAGCTGGTGCTGGCCCTTTGGGGACCTCTCCTTGCTGCTGGGAACAGGCACAAGGTCCCCCAGTGTCCCCATCCCGTGGCACCCCCCAGGTCACCGGCAGCTTACCCGCTCACACCCAGGTTCTCGCCTGTGAACCAGTGCTGGCTCTCTGCCTTGGTTGCGATGCCGAGGTTGGCCAGGGCCTCCTGCCACCAAAAAGGGTGTCAGTGCCACGGGGCCTCGCTGCTCCAAGCTCAGAGGTGTCACAGGTCAGGGCTGCTCCAGGATCCCCAAAGCCACTGGTCACCTCCAGCAGCACCTCCCTGGCACCGCAGCCTCCTCCCTCAGACATCAACCCCCTCACCGTCAGCTTCTCCACCTCCAGCTTCATCTCCAGCGCTGCACGCCCAGCCTGGCCCTGCTCTGCGGCCATTTGGTGGAAGAACCTCCGCCACTTCACCAGCACCTCTGAGAACTGCAGCTACGGGGAGAGCGCTCGAGGTGAGATACCTGGGCTGGAGCCCAGCTGGCTCGGGGCCTCCTGCAGTGGAGGTTTTGCAGGATCGTGCCCAGCCTGAGGCAGACCTTGAGCCTACAGCAGGGAACCTTGGCCAAGCCAGGACCGAGCCTGGCAGTACAGCCCCCCCATGCCCTCACGTTGGGACCTCTAAACTTCTGGGCTCTTCATGTATCCCCAGAAGTTGAGGCAGGGTCTCCAGGGTGGTCGCAGGCACACAGGGGACAGCCCGGTGGTGCCCACTCCTCTCTGCCATCTACAGAGATGCTGCTGCAGCAAGCCTGGAAACCCCAAAGGACCTGCCCCCCCCAGGGGCATCATCCACGGCCCTGGTGACAGCCTGGCACTCACCAGGAACTGAGGTCTGCCCAGCGCTGTCAGCTTGATGGCCGAGAAGCCGTCCTCCGAGCTGCCACCTGGATGGAGCCACAAGGACAGAGCTGGCCCGAGCGGCAGGGTGCTTGGGTGGGAGGGGGGTGCTCGGGATATGGTGGAGGATTGCAGGGTCCCTGCAGTCCCCAGGCACAGTGGGGCTGTGCAGGGCATGTGGAGCACTTACTTGAGGCATCGATGCAGCGGAGGAAAGTCTCCATGTGCTGGTCGCACTTGGCCTCATCAGCGTAGAAATACGTGCGGGCACTGATGACCCCGCCACGGCGATCCCCAAATCCCGGATGGGCTCGGTACTGCTTCTCCCTTTGCTCTGCTCCTGGGGTGGAAGAGGATGGAGATGGGCCATGCAGCCCCGCTGAGCTCCTGCGAGCCTCCCTGGGAGCTTCTGCTGTGAGCACAGGGTCTCAGTCTTGGACCCCAAAAATGCTGCCACGTGCCCTGCCTGCTCTGTGGCCTGAGCAGGGGCCCAGCCTGTGCTGAGGAGCAGGGTTAGCCAAGAACCGAGATGTTCTTCATCCCACTCGTGTTTTGAGGCTGTGGGAGCTGGGTCCTTCCCCCACAGCAGACCCACAGCGCCCAGACCAGCC